ACATTTTTAGTAAAGATGGGGTTTTACCATGTTGGTCAGGCTGGTCTCAAATTCCTGGCCTCAAGTGATCTGCCTGCCTCAGCCTCCCAAGATGCTAGGATTACAGATGTGAGCCACTGAGCCCAGCCAATTGTAGCTATTATGGCTCTTATTATTTTACAGACCCCTTATGATTCGGCCCCTACCTATTACTTTGGACTCATCTCCTGTGAAATCTCCCCTTGCCTTAAACTTTATACTCCATCAATATCAAACTGCTAATATTTTTTAGTTAAACGTTATTTGGTTACATGCACTCATACTTTTTACATGAAGCCTGAAATGCCTAAAATACCACACCTCCCCTGCTTGTCATGGGAATTCCATTGCCTTTTTATTTTATTTATTTATTTATTTATGAGATGGTGTAACGGTGTCTTGCTATGTTTCCCACACTGGAGTGCAATGGCCATTCACAGGCACCATCATTGCCCATTACATCCTCTAACTCTTGGGCTCAAGCAATCCTCCTACCTCAACCTCCCAAAGAGCTGGGACTCTAGGCATGCGCCACTGCGCCTGGTCCCATCTGGGTTTCACAGCCCATCCTAGGGTTCAGCTCCTCAAGGAAGCCTTTCTTCCTATTCCATCTCCTAGTCGGTCCTTCTGCTGTGCTTTCTCTATGTCTTGCATCTAGTACATGCTTCTATTCATGTATTTACCCCTTTGACTACATCATACGTTGTGTTTCTCTGACTGTTTACCTGTCTGATGGATTATGAGTCTCTTTGGGATAGAGGCTGTACCTGCAGTACATGGCTCAGTGCCTAGAATATAGTAAAAGATCATCACCACATTTCCATTGAATAAATGATACGACAGAGAGCAGAAGTCTAAGTAGCCCCTAGGTTTTTGGTAGTACCAGGTTCCAAGACTGGAGCAACAGGAGAAGTGGTTTAGGAATTAAATTCACCCGGTGAAAGTCTAGCAGGCAGTTTAAGACGGGCATCTGAAAATCAGATGAGAGATAGAGACCTGATACACACTTCGGAGATCTGATCCCACTGTTCTGAAATCCGTGTCTACATGGAAACTGAAGTCATGATTTTGGTTATCAATGCCCCCAAATTGTAAACAGAGTGAGTAAAGGAGAAAACCAAGGCCTTCTAGGAACACCCTTTTTTTTTTTTTTGAGACGGTGTTTCACTCTGTCGCCCAGGCTGGAGTGCAGTGGCACGATCTCAGCTCACTGCAACCTCCGCCTCCTGGGTTCAAATGATTCTCCTGCCTCAGCCTCCTGAGTAGCTGGGACTATAAGCATGTGCCACCACGCCCCACTAATTTTTTGTGTTTTTAGTAGAGATGGGGTTTCACTCTGTTAGCCAGGATGGTCTCCATTTCCTGACCTCGTGATCTGCCTGCCTCAGCCTCCCAAAGTGCTAGGATTACAAGCCTGAGCTACTTCACCTGGCCAGGAACACCCATTTTAAAGGGCAGCCAAAGGAAGTGAACATTAAAAGATAATCAGCCAGAAATACAGGACAAGAATCAAGGAAGAGAGGTGTCCCCAAAAGGGAAAGGAAAACAGAATTTCAAGAGATGCGGATGTTTCATAGTTACAAGTGGATTTGGAGGCCATTGGGAATCTAGTGGAAGTGATTTCAGCAAAATGTCAGGGGATTGGGGTGGTCGGGATTGCACATTGCTACGGAAAAGAGAAAAAAAGAGCAAGAGGAAGATTCACGTACCTGATCACTCTGAAAAAGCCTCTCTTCCCTGCTTACAGATTTTCATGCTTATTTGTAGCTTCCCAAAGGGCAGTCAGCTCCTCTAGAAGTCCATGGCAAGAACAACCTCATGGTGGGCGTTTTGCTTCCAGGAGATCAAATAATTTTCTAGTGATTGATGCCTCTCCTCACTTCAACTCAAAAGAATAGTCTTCAGTTTACGTAAATTGAATCCCACAGATGGAGTGGCACCTTCAAAGCACGTAACAGATGGTATCTGAACCTTAAATCCAGACCTTCTCAGAGGTTCCTGAGAAAAAAAAAAGGCAATATACATATATTTTGCCATAAACTAGAAGAAATCCAAAAAAATGTCTAAGGGAGAAGAGCTACGCCTCATCGATCTTAAAAGCCTCAGTGGTCTCTGGGGTAGATATGTGCCAAATTGAGAACACAGGGATCATTTACCGCACGTGCTGGTTTCCACAGTCTTAATATGCCATATATGCAAGCCTTTTATCTACAGTTAGGCTAAGAGAGCCTTGGAGAGGTTAGGCATCCCTAAGTACTAGACATGCAGTAGGAAGGACTAGCTAACACGTATTCGGCAATAGACCCTTTAGACAAAGGAATGACCTTAGAGCCCATCTGGCTCAGCTGCACCTCATTATTCTCCATAAGTGTTTTCTTCACTGGTCAGGCTCAGTTATAACTTTTTCTAGAGCAGGGTCCCTGACTTATTTATCTTTTTTTGGCAGTGCCCAGCAAGCAGAGGGTTTGGCCGTAAAAGGTGCTCACTAAATTTTTTTTAAATTATTTCATCTTTATTCAACCACTAGATGTGTGAATGGAGAAATGTACTCATAAAATCCCCAAAGCATGAAAGAAGCAATGACTTCCTTCCAGATACTGGATTCATGTCGCTTCCTGAAAGAGATCTTTACTCAGTGGGTACCCATTTTCATTGTTCCACAGGACTTCTCAGTTTATATGTGCTTCGTTTATTTTGTATTTTGTATTTATTTTTTGTAGAGACTTGGTCTCCCTGTGTTGCCTAGGCTGGTCTTGAACTCCTGGGCTCAAGTGATCCTCCCACCTCAGTATCCCAAGAAGCTGTGACTACAGACACCCACTACCATGCTGGGCTCTTGTTTATCTTTTAATTGCTAGAATGTAAATTTCAAGAAGTTGGGGATCTTACATGTCTTGCTTAACACTGTAGTCCATTTACACCCCTAGCAAAGGCCGAGGGCATAGCAGGAGCTTAATATTTGTGGAATAAATGAATGGCTGAATGAATGAATGAGTGGTGCTGAAAGTAGGTTAGAATGGAAGACTCCTATCAGCGAAGGGAGCAAAGTCACGACCAGCTCCTCCTGCCTAGGGCTCTTTTGTCCCCAGAACTAGTCAGCCCCAAGCCTTGCTCCTTCTCCCCCCACCCACTGTCCCATCCCACAGCAATGGGGGCAGGGCCTCTGGCTTCAGAGCTTATTAAAGGCTTTGCAGATCAGTAAATTTTGTTGGGTTGAATTATGCCCCAGGCTACCAAGATTAATTAGGTGAGCCCAGCTAATAAATTAACTGAGTTTTTACTTTTCCTTAATCTGAAGTTTTAATCCCCTTCTGTCTCCAGAAGCCCTTAAAAGAAGAGCTAGAAAAAAAAAAAAAATTGAGATGTTTCATGTCCCCACAGTGATTTCCCTTCTACCACCACGCTTTGAGTACAAGTTCTGCAATATCGCCCCACCACACAAGCAGAAAGGTATGTTTTTAGGTGGACTGGCGGATGAGAAGACTGCCCCTCCAGCTTCTTGGCCCACATGATGCCAGAGTTCCAGCAGGACTGGGCGAGACCAGGCTCTGGTGACCTTCTGCCTTGTTTCCTTAATTTACAGCTTGTGTCAACACAGTTCTGGGACAGTTGCTTATGTCACCTCCTAAGACTAAGGGAAAACCTTTGGCTACTGAAGCTGTTTATCGCTCCTGCGGCCGCCAAGGAAGGTAAACTGGGACTGGGAACAACACCCACTTGTTCCCAATCCCAGCTTACCTTCCTTGGCTTGCTGCTAAGGGCTGGATGGCTCAGGGACTTCTTTTCTTGATATTGCTGTTAGTGAGATTGCATTTTGCTTTGTCTTTCTTCTGATTCAAAACAGATGGAACAAGGAAATAAAGAATGATTGATCATCCTAGAGTCACTAATCTTTGGTAAATTTCAAAGGGTAAGTGGAGGCAAATAAACATTCAGTAAACAAGTACAGCATTTTTTTCTTTTTTTTTTTAGACCAGGTTTGACTCTGTCACCCAGGCTGGAGTGCAGTGGTGCCATCTCGATTCACTCCACCTCCCAGTCCCAAACCATCCTCCCACCTCAGCCTCCCAAGTAGGTGAGACTACAGGCACATGCCACCATGCCCAGGTAATTTTTTTTTTTTTTTTTTTTTTTTTCGGCAGAGACAGGGTTTCGCCATGTTGCCTAGGCTGGTCTTGAACTCCTGGGCTCAAGCAATCCTCCTGCCTTGGCTTCCCAAAGTGCTGGGATTACAGGTATGAGCCACCATGCCCAAACACAAGTACAGTATTTAATGCATATTGAGGAGAGTTTAAAATGATCCATATTAGGCTGGGTGTAGTAGCTCACACCTGTAATCCCAGAACTTTGGGAGGCCTAGGCAGGTGGAGTGCTTGAGCTAAGGGGTTCAAGACCAGCCTGGGTAATATGGTGAAACCCTGTCTCTAGAAAGAATTTAAGAATTAGCTAGGTGTGGTGGTACACACCTGTGGTCCCAGCTACTCAGGGGGCTGAGGTGGCAGGATCCGTTGAGCCTGGGAGATTGAGGCTGCAGTGAGCTGTGATCAGGACACCGCACCACACTCAGTCCTAGGCAACACAGTGAGTCCCTGTTTCAAAAAAAGAGGAGGAGAAGGGAGAGGGGGAGGGGGGGAGGGGGGAGCGGGGGAGGGGGAAGGAAGAGAAACAAAAAACCAAAATGCTTGGCCAGGAATAGAGCGGAGGCCATGTGACTGGAGCACCGAGGCTGTGGGAGAGAGGAATGAGAGGACTTAGAAGAGGCGAGCGGAAACCAAAACACTGGGGGCTGTAGGCCATGGTAGGTGGCTTGATGGAATTCCAGGAACAAAGGAGAGTGGCCCAGGAGATGCCAGCAGGAAAGCCTTGTGATCTAATTTGCAATTGCAAAAGATTTCCCTGTCTTCTGCATGGAGAATGAATTAGAATACAGCAAGAGAAGACACACAGAAACTAGTCAGAGGCAGTACTGGGGTTGACCAGGTGAGAGACGGCAGAGGCTGGCTAGGTGATGACAGTGAAGGAGGGAGCTGTGAATGAATGACATCAAGGACATGATTTGAAGGTGGGACTGACAGAACCTGCTAATAGGCTGATTATGAGGGGTAAGAAGGAGGGAGAAATCAAGGATGCCATCTCCAATTCTGTCCTGAGCACACGGATTTCTACTCCCTTCTCTATCCCCAACCTCCTCCTCTGTCATCCACATACCAAGAGTTTCCAGCCTCCCCAAGTCTTTGGTCAGAAAACCAGTTTTCCTGGGCATTAGACAAGAATTTGTCTCCAGAGTTTCCAACCAGCAGATGTATCTCTTCTCTTTCTGCCCCAGACTGTGGACTCCTGAAATCTGTGAGTATTTTGCAAGTTCCCTTGCCCAGACCACATTCTTGAGAAGAGTGTTCCTGTGACTCTGGGCCAAAGAAATGCTGAGAAGGTAGTCCCCTTTAAATCAGTGCCGGCACTCAATGGGTGAATCAGCCTCCGTTGGCATGTGAATTTGTCCTACTGATTGAAAGAGTAGAAAGTTATTCTAGAGGTGGGTGCCAACCAACAGTAATTCACCCTAAGAGTTCAGAAAGGCAAGCCTATGTGCATATCATTATAAAAATAACTGTGACAACCAAAGGCACCCGTCCGATTTAAGACATAAAATCCTAGCAAATGAATTTCCCAACAGGACTTCCTTGTTTGCTCTAGACAAATGCTGAGCCTTAATTGCACACTTGACACAAAGATTAGACTATATGTGAAAATTCACACAAACATTTCAATTGTGTAGTGACTTGAAAACTAAAGGAGAGGTCTGGTGTGTGTCGGCGGGGGCGAGAGTGTGGCAGAGAGCTGGGGCAACAGGCAGAACGTACAGAAAAGAGGGTGAATCTAAAGGCAGCAAATGCCTGATCCTAACCCTCTTTCCCTGCCCCAGGGTGAAGGGTAATATGAGCCCTGCCATTCAGCAACTACACAAGAATAGAATTAACAGCACTTTTGCTGCCCAGAAATCTGTTCTCCGAACAGATGGCATTTCCCAGAAGAACTAAAGCCTAACAAGCCTAAGCTTAAATCCTGGAATTGGCTGGCTCACAATAACTCCGAAGGAAGAAAAGTCCCCTGTTTGGTTTGGCTTTCAGTCTCTCCTAGGCCAGGAACCAATGCCGCACGGACTCAGGAGATGGAAAGATAAAGCCTCTAATGTGTACCAGATTGGGCCACAAAACCTCGGCAATGGGCATGTACCCTGGGCCTGGCTCTATAAATATCTGATGGCTCCCTGGGAAGGAAGTTGGACTGTCTCTCCAGTTCAGACCCATTTTCTTTACTGACACTTTCCCATGCCTTCACTGGGGGGCTGCCATGCAGCCTAAATGCTAGAGTGCCATGACCTGAAGAATATCTCCAAAGAGCCTCTCCGAGGAAGGGAATGTCCTCTCCTCATCGAATCCAGTATATTAAGGAATGGGAGGGAGAAACTAAGTGAAGATGGATATAGGCAGAAAGGTTATGAAAGAGAGAAGTCAACAGCTGAGTTCAAACCAATTCAGACCCCCTTCGGACAACCACTGGGAACCTGATGCTATCTCACTGTGAGTCATGTAAGTCGTCACCTTACATGACTCACCTTCTAAGTGATGTCCATGGCCTTCACCATCGTCTTTTTTTTTAAGTGTCACTTATTTGTGTTTGTGGTCCAAAGTGTTAGAACTACATTTTCATATTTTTTAAATCATATTTGATAGCAGCTTTTTTTATTGGTTGCAAAACCTAAGCCCCTCTACAAAATTAACAACACATTTAGAGGCCTCTTTAAAAAGAACATTTTAGTCATTTTAAACTGAGTTTAAAATAATAAAAACAACACAATTTTTAAACACTGTTTTGAAAACTTAAAAGTGCAGCAATGTACTTAGTTTCCTTTATCTAGGAAGTGGCACAATTCCAGTTCAAAACTGGTAAGGTCACAGCAAACGGAATCAAGGAAATGCATACAAATGCCTGCACTCTACATCATATTTAACTGAAAAGATCTATTTTTTCTAAATCAAAACTGGCCTTTCTGTCGATGCTGTGACACTTTCCCTAAAATTAGTAAGGATGGGGGAAAACAGGTTTTTAAGAGACAGGGTTGTCAGAGAGACTCTGTCTCCAAAGGAAACAACAATAGCAACAAACCAAAGAGACAGGATCTCAGTGTGTGGCCCCAGCTAGAGTGCAGAGGTACGATCACAGCTCACTGTAGCCTCAAACTCCCAGACTTGAGCGATCCTCCTTCCTCAG